TTGCCACAAACGGAAAACTCTCCACAAAATTCTTGACTAGCCTATTCGATTTCTTCATTCAGGAATTGTAATGACAGCCGTGAATTTGTAATCGAAGGTTCATGTGACGCCTACCTATAGTCCGTTCGGTCGGTTTTGGAATAACTAAAGATAGAGATTTCCTGGAACAGTTCAAATCAAAAGTTTGCAAGCCGAGTTCACTTGAACGAATGGAAGAAGCCTCATAAGTAGTATAGATAAACAAGAATTTGAGTTGTCCATCCAAACTGATTCGTATCACATTTTTTACATTTTGGTAATATTTTGGGTTATCAAAATCCACCCCCTAATAATAACCAGTGTGGAAGCTTCCAATGTATCTGATGATTTTCAGTTTGTGTAGAATTAGCAATCAAAATTATTTTTAAATCGATGACTCATAAAAACAGAAGGATAAGAAAAGAAATCTCATTTCACCGGAAGATCAGGAATTCCAATTATCTGAAAATATCTAACAAATGAAAATCAAAACATCTTTTGGAAATGTCTGGATCTCACAGATACATTGCATGTAATCCCGGGTTAACAACACAGAACTTTTAATATGACAATTAAAAGTAATACCGATGAAAAGTATAATCTCAACATTTCGTACGATAGTATTTCAACAAAAAATTGAAATGCTATCACTTTTGAATTCTAAAGATATCCAAAATTATAATTGGCAAGTTATCATATAGCAAATCGAATATTTCGTTGTAATCGAGAAAGAAGGAAGTTAATACACTTGCTCCACATCTTCAACTTATGATAAGATATTCTCTAGAACTATATAAATAAAATGATTATTTAAAATTTGTCTAAAAAGTATTATTACTTATACTTTCAAACATTTCACAGTTTTTTATTCATAATCGTACTATTCTTCTCAAAATTCCAAAGAAAACAATACTTGAGTCTGCATTCACCCAAAGCAGTCTTGCAGAAAATAACCCTTCATATTTACGTTTACTCAGAGGAAAGTTTTCAACAACACACTTAAACAATGACGTAATTCTGACTTTCCACGTCACCAGTTGGGAGTTGGGAAGAAGTAAGTAGATTTCACGTCAGAGACTTATTACGCCAGGAACTTGAAAACTCACTGGAGTAGCTGCAAACGCAACCCCTCGGAGACTAGAATCACAAGTCCTTTCGCATTTGATGCATGTCGATGACAAGGTTAATAAGCGAAACCCCCCACATATTGTTCACGACGTGTCACAAGAACTTCGACAACTACGGTCTCTAAAATACTCAAGAAAAAAATTCCAAAGTTAGAGAGAATATACTCTGCGATACAAACTTCATCTTTCCTAGTGTTAGTCCCATGCAGTTGCAGGGTCTCCAAGGGTTTGGAGGGCTCTCCATCGGCGTATGCCAGTTACGACGGAATGGAATGCGTTAGGAGAGGACGCACACCCCCATGAGTCCCCGTTCGGATTGGGGAGATGGTGGTGGTGGT